CGGAGAATCGGCCAACATCTATTTTTCATCCTCCTAAATGTTAGGGGTAGTCTACCCCTAAATTTTTATTTTATTTTAAGGCAAAACAGCGTTTGCCGGGACAGCTATTATAATATAAATATAATAATGATGTTTTTAATGTGTATTTAGCTAATGTAATATAAGAGTAGTTATATACATTATTTTACTGTAGAACTCTTCGAATTGAAGAAAAATATATTGATAATTCAAGATAGTTAAATAATTATAGATATAGTATATATTTCTGGATATAGGGATTTCTATAGCCAAATGAATGTATTTAACATATGCTCTTCTGACAATCTTACTATATTGAGGAAGAATTAAATAATATATTTAATGTAGTGACGGGCCTAAAGAAATGTAAACAGCGTTTCTTATAATAATAAATTATAACGAACAGTCAATTTCAGATTCCTTTGTCCGAGTATGTATGCATAAAATACATTTTAATACTAATTAATTTTTTTAACTTACGTTTAAGTACGTTTAGTTACTAAGTAAGTTTAGTTAATATACCTATTCGCTCGTAATCTTCCAGAGATTTATTTGAGATAAGGATTGAATTATTTTTCATTTCGTGGGTTCTAACTAAACCTATGTTATATTTATTATATTTAAAAAACATATGTTATACTTAAAATATTATCTAAACCTTTAGTTAGACTTACAACAACTAAAGGTCGCTGGTTTTGCGTCATAAGTATCATCTATTAATGGAATTTACATGTTTCCTTCATAGCATTGAAAATTTTGTATAGGTATGTTTTAAATATGTATGTTGAAAGTTGAGACTGTAAAAAAAATGTTGTTGAAGTAAATTCTGCATATGTATTATAGACTCGTGCCTGTGGAATAACATAAGTGTTTAAATTTTCAGTTTGTCAACCTATTAAAATAAGATAAAGTTTTAAGTGAAGCTTACCATAATATGATGTGTATTGGCGAACGCAACCAAATCGATTTAGCCGTTTCTGAGATTACCGCGCACAAATGCACAGACATGGAGATAAAAGTTAAAATTTTATTTGTTTTGATGTCTGTTAAATTAACAAGTCTAAAATAATTTCCATATAATCAGGAGTCAGTTTAATATATATAGATTAAAAAATACCTTTTTTTGTAATGAACATAATCAAGAAAGGACATATTGGTATAAAAAAAAAGATTAACACATTAATATTATTAATTTAAAATCTTCATCTGTACCATGATAATTGTATTTTATATAAAACCTATAATATTTATACTTAGCTAAATGTGTGAGTAGTGCACTTACCTTCAAGACTTCGTAGAATGTCTCTGTTAACCGCGACTTCGCCTGTTTATTTAAGTTAGAGCCTATGTCCTCGTAATACTATGTACTTTAATGTCAAAGTTTAGTAGCCAATAGGAAACAATCTAATAAACGTATAGACAGGGAGACGGATTTTCGTATTTATAATAGATATTAGTAGGATTTTTTTAGTTTTATATAAATATATATTTTTTATCCCTATTACAGTATATTTACTTTCGTGCAAACAAGCCTATATCCTAAATGTATATCTACATTATTAAAAAATGGATTCTCAAAATTTGGTAAAAGTGTCAGGAAGAAAAAAAAATATTTGATATAAAGGTAAAAAGAACTGTAGGTATTAGAAAAATAGAAGTTAGGTATTATTTTATAGATAGGTACTATTACTATAAAGAAGCCTACTAAAACACAACAAATATAATTTACAAAGTTACTATTGTATTTTATAACATGACTAAAATAAATAAATACAATATGTTCCACATTGAATATTTGAATAAGTAATAAATTGTATAGTCTTCTTAGGTAATTTTTAATTCAAATAACAGGTTGTTCTTGAACAATCTTGCACATCCATGTCATTACTATTGGCATCATTATAAATGGGAATACAATTGGTAATAATTGCAATAGATCTGCTTCAGTCATTCCGTAATTAGTTTTTATTCTGTTACAAATACTGCATATAAACTTCGACTATAAATTTTTCATATTTCGAACAAATTATATCATATCTTCTTAAACAATCGGTCAAGCTTTACCTTGGATGACATTGGAAATCATTAGGAATAATAACGCCAGAATCACTAAAGACCCCACGACTGTCAGAAATTGATTCAAATTAAAGTTTAGCCCACATGTTCCTGCCATTTTCTCCTGACAAGTACTTTTAGGTTCCTTGAAAGTATTTACACATCCAACTGAGTACAATGAGTAAAGTAACAAATGCGAAAGCTATGAGAAGTATTTGAAGTACGTCAACGTTATAGCATGTGATGTCTCTTTTCCCCATAATGATGCTATCGACCGCTGGTAATATGACATACGACGAGAAACAATAAAACCAGGATTACTATGGAACCAATGACCATCAGTAATTGATTAAGATTGAAGCTCAGGCCACACGCGCCGCCCTTCTTACCCATAGCTCTCTTCGTTGGTGATTCTCTTGAAACATTTTTTTCTATAAAATTTGTAGATAATGTCTAACTTCCATAGGTTTTTTATAAATATTTTTCCTTACAGGGCATTTTTGAAATTGACATAATTTAGGTAGAAAAAGACGCGTTATGCTCTTTCGTTTGGCATGTGACATTTCTAACGGCTATCTGGTAGAAAAAAATAATTACTTTCGTAGGAAAAAGTTCTTATTTTATTAGCCTTAAGAGAGTATTATAGAATTAATCAAAACTATTCCAACCGGAACAATATAGGATTATGTATACAAAATCATAATATACATATTTTGTCCATTTTATTACTAACGTTTATAATAATACGTTAAATGTAAGAAAATAAAAATGAATACGTATTTATATTCAGACATAGTATGTTTTTAATATGCTTTTAAAATTATATTTGAAGCTATATTGGTTTATTATTATAAAATAAACATACTTCAGTTTATGCTGTGTAACAATTTATATTTATTATTATATCTATGAGATAGAAAATAAAACTTAATATAAAATGTTTAAAATATCTACCAGAATAAATAACATTTTTAATAATAAAACAAAACGTTGGCTCAGTGCTGAAGAATTAAATTACATAATACTTAGAAGCATTAACGTAGACATTGGTAATTAATGCATTTTCCCAGTCAGGTACCACAACTTATTAATATAAAGACTTGTATTTATATAAATAAAGTTCTTGATGGATTTGTTTCACGTCTAAACCAAAATACATAATTCAAAACTCAGGCCTCCGATTTTCCATATCTGAAAAATATATTAAAATAAAATAGTAATCATTATCATAAGATAATTAAAGTTATTATTATTTTGTAATAATTAATTTAAAAAAATAAATTTATCACTACTGAATACAGTATTAGTACCCCGATTCAATTTGGTTTATCATTCATGCACAAAATCGATGCTGCCACATCTTCCTATGTAATTTCTATTTACATATGTATTTACAAAAATGCACAGCTTATGCTCTGTATTTACTGTAGATACTAATTATATCTTAATGATGAGTATTTATTTATATACAACTAATCTTAGCGGGTAGACAGAGGTATTAATGAACTGTCACCATTGCAGGGAATGTAGCTTTGGAGTTGACCACATTTCGCGGTGCATATTCAAATCCTACTTGATAGAGGTCAAGGAAGCACCATCATCTATCTGATTAATTTAATTCCATCATAATTATTATTTTACCATATATCTCGCATCTTTAGGTATAAAATGCTATTATCTGTGGTGTTAGTCGTAATAGGTATACTAAGAATAGATTTTCCCAAGTAGATTTATAATTAATTTTAAACAGCATACAAACTGCTGTGTTGTGTTTAGTTGAGTATGAAAAAATAATAAAATATTTTCTGGCGAAAGTGATTCAATTTCATGAACTTTTGATTTGACTAACCATGTATTATTATTAATTATACGTATGTAGTATACTTCATTTGTAAGTTGTATAATATTAGATTAAAAAAAATACTTTCTGACTACTAAATCCGTTTGAAACCTTTCTATTTTATCCATCACAGGATGAACAACGTTTGGAATATAAAATACCATCAGATGGAAAATTTTTCAACCATTCTAAATGTAATTAAACTTACTCTAGACGTAGTATATTTGAAAATTCCCAAAGGTAGAGCATGCAATTTATAATACTATGACCATACGTTATTTTCCACCACCAGATTTAGACAAATTTAAATGGTATACACAAAACTGTTTAATCCTCAAGGGTCGAAGTAAAATACAAGTTACGACGTTCTGATATAATAGTTTTATCACCTCTACATAATTAACTAAGTGCTAATTTGAATTTATATATAACCAATTATATAGTGTTAAATATAACCAATCATACATAAGAATAAAAAGTCTATTTAAAATAAAAGTTAAAGCACAAAACGTAAACCAAAATAAATAGATACATTTCACCTCCTCAATAGCGTCGAAAATTAAGTACTAATTGGTAAGTATGTATAGTCAGAATAAAGAAAAGTGTAGAAATTAAATGAAAATATTAATATAAACTCTATATGTTTGTTTCCCTATTTCTAAGGTTATTTTATTCATTTAAGCAATATGCCAAAAAAGGCAAATCTTATTTTCTATTCCATCATTATTAAACAGATATAGACTAGACTAGACTTCTAGATAGAACTAATTAAAAATTCTGTCGCGTCTTCAACCATTTCGAAAGCAGGGTAACTTTCTCTGATTGGTCTGATTTTTAAAAGATTGCCTATATTTGTAATCGTGATTCTATCTTCACGTGTTTCCTTAAATTCCGTTCAGCCATTTAATTGCAAAATGACACAATATATATTATCATATTATCATAGATTTACAATGTTCTCCAAACACAAACGTAGGCCATCCAGATAGAACCCTGCTTGTTGTAGTGTATATTATAGTACATTATTGCAAAATGTAGTAGATAATGATTTTCTAAGATTTTCTAATTGTTCTAGAACCAAGTATGAGGGAATTATTAATAAAAAAGTCCATATTACTCACCCCGTTGTTTACAATAAACGGAAACCACTGAAATAATCATGATATCCTTAGTAACTAATTTCATCATCATGCACAAAAATATCTTCCAGACCCAAACCCATATTTACAGTAGTGTACACACATATATGCTTTAACTTAACAACCCAATTATCCATCATGCAGTCGTGTTATTGGCGTCAATTTTGAGAGTCCAATATATCCCAAGATAATTGGTCAATATTGTTGACATTTCGTTAAAGTTGAACGATGTAGTACTTTGAAGTAACAGATTGTATGGCAAATAGGTGGGAAGACCTATGCTAATCATTTACAATTATTACAGGTACCTTCTTGTTTTAGTATATTAATAACCTAATTCTTAAAAACTATAATCTGTGTCATAGTTTGCATTGGTTATGTCGAAATGAGCATATTTTAAAGTAAAAAATAAGTAAAAATTTATTCAATTATCGCGATATTGCCTTCTTTATCACATTGACCGTTTGACATCCGTGTCAAACGGATTAATTATAGCAACAACTATTTACCTCACTCGATGTTTTGACCATATTGCACTATTCGTTGTTACTGCTTTAGGCATGAGTCGTTTATCGAACTCTTTTGATACCAAACAATTGTATAGGTTTTTTATTGTTTATAGAACTCAAACTGTATATATTATACATTCATACCTATAACATAGTATTATATGTATTTCTTTGTTCACAATAGATTTTACTTAAAGAAAACGGGGGTCATATTTTTTATTTCTACAACACCTCTATGTTGTATTCGTATTGCGAATTTTGATAATATATGCCAATTAATAAACTCTTGTATCATGATGGTAAAATAGGCATCCGTATGATGTAGTTGTTCCACAACAATTAAACTAATTATTTATAAACCAAAATTTTATTTAGGAACCAAATTGAACTATGCAAATTCCGAAATCTACTTAATCTACAACATTATAGGACGTACTATATTTTGACTAACGAATCGCATATCCTCTTGCGGTTACTTTTTTTCTGAACAATTCGATTCATTACTCACTTCTATCAATTACATGATAGATAAATGTTAAATAAATAAAAAAATAACTATCTTCATGAAATGCCATAACCGAAAAAACAGTAATATTAATAGTAGTTCCTCATATAACCCAAAGTGTTTGTTAGATACTTCGAGCTTAATTGTGTTTGTCTTTTTTTATACATATATAACACAATGTATACACAGATATACTTTTTTCAGAAATTAGGACATTATCTAAGAATAAATTTACCTATATAGTAGGTATAAATATCAATAATGTTTACAGAGATCTAAATTAACGCTAGCTCTTATTTACATCTTTGGTATTAAGATTTATGGCATGTGTTATGTAGTAGGAAAGAAAAGTTATTGTAGCATCTATTAACAGCAAAGATTAAGAAAGATCTATTGTCAAATGAATACTATGAAACATTGATCATTTAAAATCATTGAGTATTCGCCAGACAGTAGACCCAATTTGAAATAGAGCAAAGCTTTAAAGAATATAAATTACTGTTTCTTGTACTTTTTGATCATTATCCTGCGACTGTTCTCCAATGTTCTCTTACTCAGCCAGTTTATTAGATCCTCAGATATGGATTTAATTGTATTGCTTCCAAAGGTCAAAAGCGAATGGCTGAAGTAACCATTGGTCATAGAAGTAGTGCCAACTAAACTAAGTGCCACTTTGACGAAATCTTTCGCCGAGGGAGCGAAGAATGAGGTTCTGCGAATCTTGCTCATGTTGGTAGCAACGAATCCAGGATTTACACACTGTACCGTAATTCCTTTGTTACCATATTCTGTAGTCAGCCCTTCGGAGAATTTTGCAACAAATGCCTGCAAGAAAATAATAGATGTAGCAAACATCATCGTAAAATAAAATACGTACAAAATTTGTCGATTTTTTTCCAATTCAAAATATAGTGGCCCTACAAGTGAAGTAGATATAGATTAGTAAAAAAAAATAGAAACCAGAATTAAGACAGAATAGATAGGATATTTTAGAACTAAAAAAAGATTTAGAAAACAAATCTTTATGTTTTTTAAATCTATTTCAAATTAAATTGCCCTTAAGAATGATTAGTTTATTGTTATAATTAAATTTGATCAAAATAATAGTATGACTATATATCAAACTAAATAGTTTAATCATTGTAAATTATTCCACGAATTACTGAAACTGTGTGTTTAAATGTGTTTTGTCATCGTGAGTAATGCGATGCAGCTGCTTGGGTTGATGCTGCGGTTCTGAACGAAATGTCTGAAACTTTAATGCCATTGTACCTCGGATTACAAAACTACTATTGTAATTTCAACAGACATGACCTACGATGTCACGTTTTGTTTGTTTTGAATAAAAAAACACAAACAGATGGGGTCAAATAAATAAATATTAATGCGTTATAGAATGGTAATAAAACTAAACGATATACGAATATTGATATAGAATTGAATTAATTTCTAATAGGACTAGTGTCGAACAGACAATTATATAATGTCAAAATAACTATAAATAAGAAAAAGTAATTAAAGATGTAAGTAAAGTAAGCTACAAAAATAGTCAAAAAAAGAATGTACCTGCTAATATTTTTATTAAAAATAATGTACAAACGAAGACAATAAAGAAATGGACAATCTAGGAAAAAGTATACTTTTTGTTAATCTAAACTATAATTTGTATAATATAAATTTCATTCCATTTCTTCGAGTACTTTTTGAGTACAAAAGAAATAAACAAATATTATTGACCACTTACATCCGCGTGTACAGTATTAGTATTTTTACCTTAGATGCAGCATAGACGGTAAGTAATGCAGCTGGTAATTGAAACGAGCCAGATCCAATATTTATGACGATACCCTTGCCTCTCTTCACCATACCGGGCAACACTAGGGCTGTAACGCGAATCATCGATACGATGTTCACGTTTACTAGATTTGAAATGAGGTTTTGCCTGTGGACAAATGACGTAGACATTAATACGACTACATCACATAGATTTTAAATATATTATATAAAATATTAACTCAATAAGATATTCATTCCATACATACAATAAGTACAATAATTAATAGTTATGTCTATTAATTATTGTATTTTTTCTTTCAGGTCTCAATAAATGATTCATCTATTTAACATTTTACAAAATAGGTAAAGAGGAGAGAGGTGTTAGCATCATCGTGATAGCCCATTATTGGCGACCACGGATGTTTACCTGTTTAGCAGTTTAGGTCACCCTTTATAGACCCTTAAGGCCGTCATATTTTTTTAGATTGCAAAAAAGTATGATTTTATTAAGGATTCGAAAACTCTCCTTTCTGCCTTCACGCTAACTTTGCTCAGTAGGCAAGCAGAGGAATTGAGTAGCTTAAATCCTCAACAGAAAAAAAAAGATGAAGAATATCTAACCAAGAGTTACTATTCTTTTAATAAATTCTGTTTACAAGGTACAAGATCATTATGTATTAAGTTTATTTATGTTCAAAGTGTTAATACTACAGAGAGCTTCTCTCAACTATGGCCACCATTAAGCGAGATTAGCCATTAGTGGGAATGTCAGGAACGGTAATTATATTAATTTTGGGGACACAGTAAAGTTCACGGATTACGGAACTGAGTAAGGCATTAACTGTTGCGGCACTTGCTTAAACGTACGGATTTACCTACTTAAAAGTGAACACGAATAAAGTTATGTATCTCATCCTTTAGTATTTTTTATGTAATTTGAATGGCAAACAGATTGTCAGTACAGCTGATGGTATGCAAAGTATACATACTGTATAGTATACATGACGAGGACTCCGGATGTCACATTATTATGTGACACCCGTGATATTACCATGTGTACCTGTGCTGCCATGCCGGAGAACAAACTTTTCTAGAGAAAACAACCAACTCTCAAAGCAGGCTGTATGTCGGCTTGCTTTGTGCTGAAGACTTATTATAGTCTAGCTTTATTTAAATAAATGAAAGAATAATACTTAATAAATACCATCGATTCAATTCCTAGTGTAGTATTACCATTTGAAATGCAAGGATAATAAAATAAAAGCACTTTTCAATATTAATATTTAATTTTTATTTTAGTTTGTTATGTGCATATATTTATACAACATTGTATTTAGGTACCGAATTAAAATTTAAGTAATCCGCTTAAAAACTAAAATAATTAATCATTAACTTTGAAAGCAGCTCTATGTTTTAAAAATAGTCTTTATAAGAAATTCTTACCAGTCAGGTAGTTCCAAGAAATACTCCGGATAAACGTAAGATACGCCTACATTGTTCACCAATACTCCGATTTCTAGGTCCATAATTTGACTGGATAAAGTTCCATAAATATCTCCACCTTGACTGAAATCGATTTGGATTACTTTCGTTTGTACTTTGAAATCTTTCTCTGAAACAAAGAGATATATATAATTTATTAAGTGCATCAAGATCTAGTGGTCTATTATTCCGACTTATAGACTTCCAAAACCGTGTGACGCCAAAAACTTATATGCCAATTTTAATTTCTATATGTGACTGTGATGAAAATAAAACATCAAAAACAAACAAAATTATACCTACACTCTATATATTATCATAATATAATTATTATTCAAATATTATAATTATCTATCAATTAAATCGGACGAAAAATCTGAAACTGATAATTTTGTATGTAATCTATTTAGTTTCGTGTCGTCCTCGTAGGAACAGTTACTTTGTTTTCTGTACAACAGAATTAGAGTAGTTCAAATATAAAACTGTATCTATCATTATCATTATGATTATTTACATATTTGAATTTAAAATTAATGACTCATCTCCCATTGTTAACAACGAATTACGTAGTAGAAATTAAACCAATCAGCAAACCGTACAAAATGAAAGTTTATTCTATCTTTCGTATCGTTATTTTATCTTTCTTATTTTATTTATTGTGGTACAGTGTATATATATTTGAAAATATGATATTACTCACCAATTTCTTCTGCCGTTGTATTCAATTTATCCAGCGATCGACTGACTAGAATAATATCACAACCTTGGGCTGCCAACTGTAGACAAAATAATGCTTCATACCATTATTATAGTCGTTACCAATCCGAAAAATATTGAAAAACTTTCCTAAAGTATTGTAAAGAACTATAATGGAAATTTTAAATAATTCGCGAACATTCGATTAATCGAATTAAAAAAAAATAAGTTGACAGGTTTATCAAAGGGTTCAGTATTATTTTAAAATATTATACATAATACATGTATTATTCCATTTATTCAACGATCGACTGACTAGAATACTAATGTTAGAACCCCTTCATTAAGTATTACTAATCTCCAGCTAGGTACATAACGTTTTTTTATGTACCTAGCTGGATTAACAAATAAGTCGACGACATTTGATCGACTATTTACACGAATAGCAGTATGAATAGTACCCTTCATGTATTGCCACTCTAGAGGACAAAGAAATCATGCATAAGTACTCTGTAATTTAATCTCCATATCTCACCATTTATAAGAAATACAGCTTACAATCCCAACTGATTGGTGGAAGGAACATGTGGAATGGAGGAGACTATAAAGTCTACCTATATTAAAGATAGCTATATAGACAAAATTCTTTAGCTTTACACCTAATATGCACAAATACGCGAGACCAAGCTTGAGCTTACTAATATTATAATCGCGAAAGTTTGTGGTAATGGATGATATGATAGATGAATGTTTGTTACTCTTTCATGCAAAACCGACTGAAATGATTTTGATAAAAGTTTTTTTTTTAATTTCTAAAATGTTTACCCCATTTCATTATGTATATTAATATGTATTCAAAATGTATATTACCTGTCTAGCATACTCCTTTCCGATTCCATCTGTACTACCCGTAACCACTGAAACAAAAAAGAAAACGTTAAAATAAGTGTAATTGGAATTATATAAATATCAAAAATTCTGTTTGTTTCTAAATCATGTTTTATACCAGATAAATTTACTGCAGCTATAAAAGATATAAATATACGGAACCAAAAGATGCATAGTCTTATAATAATAATATTCAATCAGAATGGGCATAATATGCGTAAGCTACACAGAAAATACCGTGAAATTTATTTCGGGTTAATAGATAATATGATTAAATTGCTAGTTTTATTTCACATTGATCTGAAATACAATTGTGTACTAGTGTAGTTTCCGTTTTAATTGTTTTACGATATACGTGGATTTTTGAGCATAGAAAGTATCTGATTTTCTTTAATGATTTTTTTATCTCACATATCCCTAATATTACTTATTTTTTGAGTAATATACTAAGGAGCGAATCCACTGACGCCATAATGAAAGCGACCATTTTGTCTAAAGTGTACGACTAACGAAGGAGATAGTACAATAATTGTGTAAAATGTCGAATGTCCTACATATAGAATGTTGGAAAAACTTTTTGTTTTTCTGGAATCCTTATCTTGAAAATATGTTTTTGGACTCTCTGGATTACTGAAGACGTTAGTGCTTATTACGATAATCGTATATACATATAATACACTATATATTACATTATATTATATCAGCTGCATGCACTCAGCTTACTAAACTGAGTCGTATTATAGTGAAATCGACAATATATGCTCACACGTAATTTGCATTGATATCTGCAAGTCGACAGTATCAAATGCAAATGCTTCGAATTGCACTTACTTGATACACAAGATTTGTCTCGCTGCTTCACTTACTTATCGACGACGAGATTATTCTATTCTAATGATTAGTTTCTAAATATCGTAGTATAATGTTAAAAACTCTATTGTTTTCAACTATTGTATATTATATTATATAAAGTTTAAACTTGTGGTAGCATGGTGTCATCCTGATCATTGTGCTCCCTCTATTGTGGTTGAGTGCAATGACGGCTGGCTCATCCGTAATACTAGTGAACGGGTGCTGCTTGTGGTCTGTTCAGGTTACGAACACTGATTAGACTATTTGCTTTTGCAATAGCATATGCTGGTGGTCACTCTAGTTCCTTTTCAGTTCTTCTCATCTCGAAATCATTCTAAACACACGCAACGATGTGACATATCATAAGAGTCTGTAATAGACGTAGGTCTATTATAGGTCGTTATTCAAAATTCAAAATGTCTATTCATGTAGATGAATAGACATTTTGAATTTTGAATAACGTCCCTTGGTACATACATTAATAAGTTACCTTAATTCAAAGCAATATCCAAGATTAATACTATCGGAATTTTGTATCACTCTCGCTTTGGAAACTTTCTCTTAGGTAGAAAATTCACAGTAACAGAATCCATACTAATATTTAACAGACAGACAGACACAGTTTCACATTAATATTAGTAGGAATTAACTAATATATTATCATTAGGTTATCAACATTACGGACGCATTGACAACAGGATGATATTTGATTCAAACTTGAAAGGTTTTAGAAATGTAAACAAAAAACTGATAAAAATATAGTTACATGTATTTAATTTTTATAGGTCCTTTCTTATTACAATTCTTCATTGTATAGTAACAATAGTACTAATATTAGAAAGAAAATATATGTGAAACTACTAAATTCCTACGAGATTCTGCTAAAGTAGGGTATGTTTCACTATGTAGGCCACTAAGGCGCTTGTTAAACTAATAATAAACAAACTCCACGTGGATGAAGTCGCGGGCACAATTAGTTATAAAAAATAATGACGCATTTGTTAGACTTTCTCATCATCATTAAATTAAATTGTAGAAGAAACGACTTTATTGGTATAATATATTAAGTTGTAGTTCTCCTTGAACTTGCCATGCGCAAAGGTGAAAGCTATTTACAAAGCAATGTTATATAGGGTTTTTGTTAGCAAGTTAAAAGCAACCTTAGTGATATTTCAGTAAGGAATATTTCTATCTGATAAGTAAACATTGTTGTGAATGTGAATGTGAATGTCGCTGACCGATGTCGACCATGAGCATATAAGACAAGTGTGAGTAAAACTATACATACATATAGTAAATACTAGTTGAATCGCGCAACTTTGTCTTCCTCACATAAGAGACAGAACGGAAGCTGTTAGAAGAATTAAATTTCGTCGTTTCTACAATTTTTAATTATTACTCCGCTCCTATTGGTTGTAGCGTGATGTTATATAGACTTCCTCGAAAAATGGGTTACTTTACACCAAACAAAATCTTCAATTGGAATCAATTACTCAAATTAGCTTTGTAATGTTAATACAGATTTTCTACTTAATTAGACAATAATATATTATAGTGGTTCAACTTAATTTAATAATATTATTTGTATGGGCTATCTGAAACAGGTGGGTATTTTTAATAGCATTTTTTCTTTAAGGTACACTAGCTAGAACATTTAGGAACTAGAATCAGAATGAATGCAAAGTGAAATTAAGCAGAAGACAAAAATAACCAAAGGACAAAAGTATGGTTAAAATTCATATGTATAGCATAGCTAATATTCATATGTATTAACAAATTATATTTTTTACTTGGTCCATGTATGAGGGATTTTCTATCGAGGACACGGGGGCTCTTCCAGGTCTGCAGAAGTGTCGAATATGTAGAGTGAGTTTTCGTGCCGTATATCCATATGAGGGGTATTTCATATGGACCTAGTGACGTACCTACGTCACTAGGTCCATATGCTAGGTATTACATGAATATAATCCACATCAATAAAATCAATTCAATTCAATAATGTAATTTCTGCTAAACCCCGAATCTTAATGTATCTATAACTAAATATGGCTATTAAATAGATTTACTGTGTGCGAGGCGTGATGATGAGACCAGTGCGCTGCTCTCACCCTAAAGAAGACTTCCGGGTTATGTCAAGACAATTTCCGAATTAAATTCGCATACATAGTTATAAAATATTGTTTATAAATTATGTTTATTTATAAACTTTTAAAATAATTTATCTAAACCTAATTGTTTTAAATACAGGTCACATTATTATTACTTTTTTAATGCAGACGAAAGTTTCAATGAAAGTGGCTATACAGAAACCGGTCTAAATAATGGTCAGATACCTAAACCTACGTGTAGTAAGCGCTTCTATCACTTATGTATTGCTGAACTATGTTACATGATGGTATAGAATGAAATGTTAATGTTAAATGAAATGTTGTACCTTAGAAATCATCGGTGTTAACTCCTGGTAAATTCAACATCATCATCATTTTAGCCCAGAAGACGTTCACAGCTGAACAAAGCTCTCCTGGTACATTCATCACAATAGTATATGATGGTGGTGAGGAAAGAGTAAGTAGTCTCTTTCCTCACCACCATCATCATCACATTCATCTTTCATCCTTCATTGCCAGCGAATACTATTAGCACACTCGGGCTCACCCTTCCATCATCTTTATCAAAAATATCTATTGATGCAAGCAGTTTTTTTAGTACACTTGCGTGAAAATTAAATTATTTAGTATTTATAAACGTGATAGTTCCAATAGGCATGTATGAAATATTTTAATTATTTTTTATGTACACAGATATGATATAGAAACTAATATTAATCTGTGTATTAATATTGATTTGTATATTTTATTTTGCTTTAGTTTCCTAAATATGCAAGTAAAGTCACGGGTTGAAACTAATTTAAAAAAAAATTGGGAACTTCAATGAATGAACTGGCTTCATGCTAAGTACTGGTTAAAATATAGTGACGGCGATTAAAATTCCAACAAAATTCACGTAGATCTAAAGTACGGCATGGTATTTTACTAATTTCGTTATCTTGAAAACTTACATTTTTGTTCATAATATTACAGCTATAATTTTTCTTCTTGGTATAAATTATTTAACTACATGCCTACGAATACAGTTATCTAAAAATAGAAGAATACGTTCAATACAAAATATTTATTAAGTAACATAAAAAATAATTCTCAAATCTTGATGAAATTTATGTAGGTGTAGGCCAGAACAGATCATCAGCATTAAAATAAAAAAAAAATAATTAAATTTAGATTTTGATTATTTTACGAATTCGAATTCTAAAATAATTAATATGAAATTGACTCCGTAATTTGACAGCAAGAATTGATTAGTAATAAAATAAACTTAGGTATGTCTAAGTTGAAAGTATTTATAAATTAATTATTACAATCGACCATATAATTAAATTAAAAAATTCTATTCAATTGCAGTCCAAGACTTGCTTACATAATTTGATAACAGCACAGAAACAAACTTCGATTCTCTAATTTGACAATTAATAATATTGACATTATTTGACATTGACCTTTTGTTATCAGTGGCGTAAAATATTCGTAGTGTATGTTTTATTAATTGATTTAATGTATTTATATGCATAATTAAAAAAAAAGTATTTTGCACTCTTTCTCTAATAAACTATAAATATGCAAAAAAAGAAGCTATTTATGATGATATTATATACATGGTGCTAAACTGTTGCTGGTACATAAATGTAGGCGACGATTACCGGTTGTTTGCTCTTGCGACCAGGTGGGCCGTAGCTTATTTACCATTCCCATAACATTAAAAAATGTACACAAAAGTACTGTTGCACTTATGTATAATGTGTATACGTATGCCAACTTAATGGCTACTTCTTTGCTGCTTAACACTAAGTCAGTTGAGAATACGAAGGAGTATACAACGTAGAAAAACTTTTCAAAATTCAAGTTCTTTGTTAGTTGTACGTGTTCTATTCGCTACTTAGTTTTTATCTTATTATACAATTTTGCAACTAAAACGTTTTAAAAGCACGAAATCCTTGGGAAAACAATATCTTCATAAAACTCACAAACACTATTGAAATTTTCACATAAATTTACAAGTATATTTGCCTGTCTTAATAAGAATAAAGTATCTAACAGTGTCAAATTAATCTTTCGATCTCGTA